TATCCCCAATGCCTAGAACAGTACCCATCAGATAGTGGCTACTCAATAAAAATTTGTTGAATAAATAGAAGGAAAAAAAAGTTCCTGCTCCTAAAGAATTAAGCCTTATGGGAGATACTAATAAGGAAATGAGCAATTACAACATAATGTCAAGGGCTCTGGAAAAGCTGAATGCTGGGTGCTGTGGGAACAGAGAGGGTGAAACCTAACCCAGTGTTAAGGGGTAAAGTAGGTTTTCTAGAGAACTGTATTTAAAAGCTGAGATCTAAATGACAAATTGGAATTGGAAGCCTAGAGGAAGGCAGATATAGATAAAGTTTTCCAAGCACAGGCAACAGTTGAAGTACAGCAAGAAAAAGAAGACAGTGACCTGACAAAAAGAACAGAAAGAAATGGACAAATTCATGGGACACTTAGGAAAAAGAGTTGCAGAACTGAATAATAAATTATATATAAGGGGGAGAGAAAAGGAATTAAAGATGAAGCCCAAGTTTTAGGCTTAGGAAATTGTGTGAATGGTATTTTCATTCACCAAAAAAAAGAAAAGAAAAAGAACAGAGAGAGGAGTAAGTTTGGAAGAGAAAGAAAAGTTCAACTTAGTTTCAGATCACTCTGTGACTTCAGCATGGAAACATCCAATAACTAGTTCAGTAAATGTGTTCAGAATTCAGGAGAAATATCTGGCCCAAAAATACAGATTTGGAAATCTTTAGCACAGAGATGACAAACGACACCATGGTAGTAGATGAGGTCAGCCAAAGAGAGTTCACTAAGAAGATTACACTAGCTCAGAATGCTGAAATACATCAATATTTAATGGCCAGGCAGATAAAGAGGGGCCCATAAAAGAAAGTCGTAAGAAGGGGCAAGAATGGAAAAAGAAAATCAGAAGACTGGTGTCAGAGACGACTAGGAACTACAACATTTCAAGGTGGTGGTGGTGAACAATGTTAAAAAGCTGTCCATAGGTTGAATAAGATAAAGTCTAAAAAAAGTAGACAGACAGGGCCGGCCCAATGGCGTAGCGGTTAAGTTCATGCACTCTGCTTCAGCGGCCCGGGGTTCGCGGGTTCAGATCCTGGGCACAGATCTACATACCGCTCATCAAGCCATGCTGTGGTCCCACATATAGAGTAGAGGAAGACTGGCACAGATGTTAGCTCAGGGACAATCTTCCTCAAGCAAAAAGAGGGAAAGTGGCAACAGATGTTAGCTCAGGGCTAATCTTCTTCACCAAAAAATAAATAAATAAATCAGACTGGTAAAACCATCTCTACCAAATCAGAAAGTATTGCTCTTTTGATCAGTTAAAATTAAGTTTCCCTAAGAACTATGAGGGAAAGAAAAAGAAGGACAAAAATCAATTCAACAAATTCTAGTTCATGGGAAAGTTTGGAGATTCCTTTCAGTCCTGTTTACTTCTTTTAATTTTCTCCCAGTGGGTTTTTTTCAATTTGAGTCAATAGAGAACTCATGCAATAAACAGCCTTCATCTTGGTATTTAGTTTTCAAACTTTCCTACTAATTCTAGAGGCCCATTCTGTAACAAGGAAACTATTCTTGGCAGCTAATCCACAACTGCACAAAACAAACAAAACCACTAAAAGGATCAGGTCTCTCTCCCTGTTTAAATCACTAACACTATCAGAGGCTATGTCAATAAGCTTGTTCTGTAGCAAGAATATATGAGTGCTATTTTTTTAAAATTCGATTCACAATTAAAGAGGCAATGTGGTTGAATGGATTAAGCTTAAGGCTGGAAGCCAGAAGCTTTAAACATTAAATTCACCTCTGCCCATTACTTTCTGACCAACTCTAAGAACATTCTATAACTCCTTCACAAAACAAAATAGCAAATAATTAAGTAATTCTAAACCAGAATGAGATAATTAGTCAAACTAAAATTAAACAATTATAAATAGTTATATAAGCAGAGGCAAGAAAACACTGGTAGATATGACATCAAAAATTAGCTTTTAAATCCCCATGGCAATAGCAATTGCTTACTGAGAAAATCTGATTCGCGTTTATAAAAACAGAACAGGAACTAGGACTCATACCCCAAATGTGCAAAATTTCCTTGGGGTCTTTCAGGGTTGCCATTCTAAGGAACATGGCAAATACAGAGAGATCTTGCCCTTCTCCACTCTCACTTTGGCATGTGATACTTTTAATCTGGCTCCCCAGCTTTCTCCTCCTATAGCAAGTGGCCATTCAGTAAGAAAGAACAGAGAGATTTTGCCTAGAAGTCACTCAGAGTAGTCACTACAAACACGGAGTTGAAATCAGATATGAACTGTTTCAGTTAGCTGAAAACCATGTGGAATCCTAAAAGAGGACTGGAATCAGCTTATAGATTGCCAATTCCTGCTTTGGGCCAATGCTCACCAAATACTAGGCATTATACCAGTGGAAACACATTTAATCCTCAAATAACACCATGAGGTATCCCCATATTAAAGTTAAGGAGGCAAAGAATAGGAGAGGTGAGTCACCAAGCTCATAGGTGGTATTTTAATTCTTATTATAATCTTAAAAACCCTGTAAATACATATTCTGGATCATCTACAATGATCATATGATGATAACCTTATAATCAAGTACTGCCTTGCAATTTCAGGGGCCTCGTTTCTTGTTTATGTTTATGATCTAGTGAATTTTAAGTGAAGATCATATGACACTGAAGCTTACTGTAACATAAAGTTTTCATGGTAGTAGTATGAGAACAGAGTCATCTCAGGTCACCCAATGGCACATCAAACCCAAAAAATGTCCTTTCTGAACAGTCAGCGGTATAGTCATGCTGTTGGTAAGATGCACTGAATGGGCCCCATTTAGGGGCCCATTTGCTAGCGAACATACAAATTTGCAATAGTTCACTAGCAATGACTGTAGCTAGTGATAGTAAAGACTGAATGCATGTTCCAAATCCCAGAAATAATTGGATTAGCCACTCACTTAAGGATTTCAAGATGCTACTGTATTAGCTTCCTATTGCTGCCATACTTCAAACTTAGTGGCCTAAAACAACACAAATGTATTATTTTATAGTCTTATAGGTTAGAAATCAGACATATGTCTCATTAGGCTTTGCCTTCTGGAGACTCTAGGGGAAAATCCATTTCTTTGTATTTTCCAGCTTTCAGAGACCAACTCCCTTCTGGAGCTCACGGTTCCCTTCCTCTATCTTCAAAGCCAGTTGAGTCCTTACATCTTACTACTCTGACCTTGCTTCTATCCTCAAATCTCTTTCTCTGACTCTTCTGACTCCGTCTTCTACTTTTAAGGACAATTGTGATTACAGTGGGCCCACTCAGATAATTCAGGAGAATTAAGGTCAGCAGATTAGCAACTTGAAAGACGTCTATAACTTTAATTCTCCTTTGCCATGTAATGTAACATCCTTAGAGGTTCTGGGGATTAGGACATCTTGGGAGTCTATTATTCTGCCTACCACAGCTACTATGCTAGCCTTGTCATGAAGTAAACAATGTACCTCTACAGGGTTATGAAGTTGTTCCCCATTAACAATGATATCTAAAGATTGCTCAATTACAAAGTTCAGGCTAAATATAATGTCTGATTATAATGAACAAGCAAACAAAGCCTCAAAGATATTAATATTGCTTTTTTTTTACAGTATACTCATATGAACAGCTTTCTCTGCAACAATATTATTTGAATCAAAATATAAATACAATATTGGACCTCCTTCTACTAGTTCTACTATTTCACTAACAATGATTTGGTTTTTGCAAAACACCACTATTTATCACATTATACTAGGGATACTACTCTGAATTTCACTGGCTTCATTGTCTTATTTGTATTTAAATTGTGAATTTATTTTGGTTTCCTAATTGTAGCGAAGCTATAAGCATATGGAGTTTATACCTAGTTTTTTGTTTCCATATACTTAAGTATCAGTATATTAAAAATAATTAAGTCAAAATCAGAGATCCACAAATTTATTTTTCCTTTAAAAGGGAGTTTTATAACTTTCAGTTTTGAGAAAGACTGGAGTACTGGAGTAGAGATAACAGCGTGGCATTTGGAGTAAGATATGAACTCAACTACCAGCTCTGCAACTTACTAGCTATTTGACCTTGGACAAGCTGCTGATACTCTTTAGATATGCAATTTCCTTATCTAGAAAATGAGTGTAATAATACTTACCTGATAGGCTTATCATGAGGATGAAGTGAAATTATATATGTAAAATGCTCAATACAGTTCCTAGCCATAATCAGGTACTCAATAAGTAAGATTAATATTTATTTTATAAAACTCTTTATGAGCTTTAAGACAAAAAAATAAAAACAATTTTCAGTGTTCAGTATATTATATTTTCTCAATAAATATTAGACTACAACTTCAAATGATTTAAATACTGTTGCACACTTATCTAAATTTTCTGAATCTAGTCTATTTTAAATTAATTATCTTTCAATTTAATTAATTGGCTTATTTATTAATCTCTTAATATTTACTTATCTTTTAAGTTTGTAACTTGACTTATCCCCCCAAAAATCATTTGCCTTCCTAAGAGCTTTAATATCAGTAATTACACTAATAATTGAAGTTTTGCAAGTAATATCCTACAGTGGATAATCTGTAATAGTTACTTTCTACCTTTTCCAAAAAGAAAATACCCTGATATGTTAATAAAAAGTGACTAGAAAAAAAATTAGAAAATGAATCTAGGAATATCAAAGTCCTAAATGACCTTCAAAGTGAACACTAGCGCTAAGACTCAACTTTCAAGACTGCACTCATCACTTGAAAACAATACCAGTTTTGAAACAATGACTTTTAATTCTAAACCAAAAATATGCAAAAAAGGATTGATAGAGGTTAAACGAATTAACACTTGCTGAATATAAATATTAAAAAATATATATTTTTATAAAAGGTTAACTAAAGATAAACAACTATTTGTAAAATCAAACAATATTTCAAGACAGTTTCTGTTTTGCATTATCAGATACAAAAATACTTACAGTTTGATAATATGAGGATGACGAAAGAGTTTTAGATTTTGAATTTCTCGTTTTATTTTTCCAACAACATCTAAACTGCGAATCTTCTGTCTATTTAAGATTTTAACTGCCACTTTATGGCCTGTCAATTGATGTTCTCCAACTAAAGAAAAGAAAAGGGAAAAAATTTGCTGTCATAGCAATGCAATCATTTATTCATGCTTCCTTTCACTGTAATCTCAAATTTCTTCACTCATTATCCCCTTTATATGATTTATTGCATTAAAACTGAAGTTATCTCTTTTCACTTCTATCTCTTCTACTAGAGTATGCACTCCTTGAGGACAGAAACTGTATCTTAGTCTTCTCTATATCCTCAGCACTTAGGACAGAGATGTTCATTAAATACTTGTGGAAAGGATTACTGAATTCTATACTCCTACATAAAAATATAATCAAATTTGGAACATTTTGGGATAGAATAGAATTTACTATGTTTTGTTATCTCTTTATTTCTCCTCTTCTGGTTAATGCCAGTCATTGTATTATAGAAGAATAAATGATTGCCATAATAAATTAAAAACTCATAAGCAGATTCATTACTATTTCATCAGAAAATCCATACGTAGCCCCCCTCCCTTTTTTTTTGGCCTTTTCCATGAAGCCTTCCTGTTTCCCCCCTATTTGATGGGATCTCTTCTTCTTTCAAACCCTCGTAGTACGTTTATAAAGCTCATAAGTCATTTATCATTTTTAGGCTACTATAAACATTTGTGTTTTTGACAATTCGTATGACATGAGCTATTAGCTCATACCCTCCTTGATTATGAAAGTACTCATCTGAATCTCCCAGGAAATACTTAACACAGTGTTTTGTACATATTAGATACTAAATACATGTTGCATTAAATGAAACAACACTCTTTCCCCTTTCATATAACATATTCATAGTATCTACACAACTAGTGATATCCTTAAATACTGTTCAGATGAAAAATCTCTCAGTCAGGGAACACATTTGCTGGCCCCTTCTACTGCCCTCCATGACTATTCTAAACTTGCACCATTCTCCTCACAATACCTATTCAACCCTTGGCCCATTTCAGCAGACCAATTCCCCTTTCATTTCTTTGGGAAAAGTGAAGTCATTAAAAGTGACTTCCTTTATCTTAAAGGCTTATTTATTCCACATCCATCCTTCACCTGTCTCAGATGTTTTGGCACTCCTCCTGTTCAAGGCCAGTCTCATCAACTTGTGCCCTGTTCTGAACCCATCTTTTCTACACTCTCCTTATATTTGACCTTTTTCTTTTCTAATAGCTGCTTCTCCTTAGCCTATCATTATCCCATTCTTCCCCCATATCTTCCATTTACCTTGTATCTTCCTCTAGTTTCCAACATTTGTCTTATCAAAATTTCTCAAAAACAGTAGTCTACATTGTCTTCTCTTCCTCCTTTTTCACCATCTCTAAATTCACTGCTATCTGGCTTCTGCCTCCACTCCTCTACTGAAACCAAAAGGTCACAAAAGACCCATTAATTATCAAGCCACATAGCCTTTTCAGTTCTCAGACTACTATAACCTCTGTTGCACTGGACAACATTGATCACTCCTTCTCTGGTGGTACTTCTCACTCCTGGTTCTCCCACTAACTCTCAGATGGTCTCCTTTATGGCCTCCACCTGTTCTTTACAGGTTAGTATCCCCAGATTTCTAATCCAGACCCAAGGTAGACCCTTAAGTTATCCCATTCATTTCTCATAGTTTTAATTACAACCCATATGCCAATGACTCTGCCCCCTTCTTCAAATTCATATATTTCGAGGTTAGTATCCCACAAATGCCTCAAATTCAACATGTTCAAAACTGAACTCAGCATTTTCCTCTTTTTCCTCCACCAGACCTATGTCCTCTATTTCACTTGGCAGCACACAGCCTACAGGCTAGAAATCAAGGAGTCAGGTGACATTATCTCCTAAATATTTCTTGGAGTCAAGCTGCAAATCATTATCACAAATATGTTAACAACAAAGATAGACGTGACAATGACATAGTGTTTACTGTGTATTAAGCATTCTTCTAAGCGCAAACTGCCCTGTTCACTCATCCCCATAACTCTATGAAGTATTATTATCCTGCAGTGTACAGATGAGTAACCTGAGGCACAGAGAAGTTACATAACTCATCCAAGGCGACATGGTAAGGGTTGGCACAACATGTGATCTCAAGCTGTCTGACTTCAGTTCAGAAGCCACATGTTCAATCATAACACAATAAGGTCCCCAGTCAGAGCAATTCAAACAAGGAACGGGCTGACCTAGGAAGAACTAAAATTCTTGTCACTGGAGATGGCTTTTACCTTTATAAATTTCTTAAGCAACAAATTGTCATCTCAAAAACTTTAATGAAGCTTGAAAGTTATTTTCCATGAATATCAAACAACAAACTGGGAGAAATCAAGTTCAGGCAACCTAACTTACTAACATTCCAATATACTTCCAGGACTCCAGAAAAACATGATCAATTTCACGGACTTTATACTCTATTAAAATAACCTACATGGTTTCTTGATGCCTGGGTAGTTTATTACTCACCTGGGGGAATTTTATAATAGCCAAACACTTGCCTGGGTGGCCTAACAGGTATGTCTCTCTCCTCAAATCCCTGATAGGGATTCACTGCAATCCCCTGTCAATACAACAAGGAGGAAGAGTTCAAGTCCTCTTTTCCCATTTGATCATTAAAATTAGTGCCTACTGAGAACATATGTGGGTCTTTCCAGATCAAAGAAGGTAAGACCAAGGACTCTAACAGCCAAACAGATGGGTGCTTTGTTTTTTAATGCCATATGCTTAAACTGAAAAAAAAGGAAACCAAAAAGTGAGTGAATTCACTCAGAAAATAATATAAAGTATTAATCAGTCAACAAATTCAATAAAGTTGCAGGATACAAAATCATTATACAAAAATCAGTTGAGTTTCTATACACTAATAACAAACTATCAGAAAGAGAAATTAAGAAAACAATCTCATTTACAACTGCATCAAAAAGAATAAAATATTTAGGAATACAATTAACCAAGGAGGTGGAAGATCTATACATTGAAAACTAAAAAACATTGATGAAAGAAATTGAAGACACAAATAAATGGAAAGATACTCCATGCTCGTGGATTGGAAGAATTAATATTGTTAAAATGTCCATACTTCCCAAAACAACCTACAGATTCAATGCAATCCCTATCAAAACTCCAATGGCAGTTTTCACAGAAATAGAACAAACAATCCTAAAATTTATACGGAACCACAAAAGACCCTGAATAATCAAAGCAATACTGAGAAAGAAGGACAAAGCTGGAGGCATCACACTTCCTGATTTCAAACTATATTCAAAGCTATAGTAATCCAAACTGTATGGCACTGGCATAAAAACAGACACAGATCAATGGCATAGAATAGAGAGTCCAGAAACAAATCCATGCATATATGGTCAATTGATTTATGATAAAGGAGCCTAGAATATACCATGGGGAAGTCTCTTCAATAAATGGTGCTGGGAAAACTGGACAGTCAAAACAAATACAAAAGAATAAAACTAGACCTGTATCTTAGATGTTACACAAAAATCAACTCAAAACGGATTAAAGACTTAAATTTAAGACCTGAAACCATAAAACTTCTAGAAGAAAATATAGGGAGTAAGCTTCTTGACATTGGTCTTGGCAACGATTTTTTGCATTTGACAAAAAAAGCAAAAATAAACAAGTGGGACTACATCAAACTAAAAAACTTCTGCACAGTAAAGAAAACCATCAATAAAATGAAAACGCAACATATAGAATGGGAGATGGGGCCGGCCTGGTGGGGTAGTGGTTAAGTTCGTGCGCTCAGCTTCGGCAGCCCAGGGTTCACCAGTTTGGATCCTGGGCTTGGACCTACGCACCACTCATCAAGCCATGCTGAGGCAGCGTCCCACATAGAGCAACTAGAAGGATGTACAACTATGGCATACAACTATCTACTGGGGCTTTGGGAAGAAAAAAGGAGGAAGATTGGCAACAGATGTTAGCTCAGGGCCAACCTTCCTCCAAAAAAAAAGATAAAATAATGTCCAAAAAAAAAGAATGGGAGAAAATATTTGAAAATCGTATATCTGATAAAGGGGTTAATATCTAAAATATGTAAAGAACTCACACAACTCAACAGCAAAAAACAATCTGATTAAAAATTGAACAGAGGAACTGAATAAATTTTTTTCCAAAGAAGATATACAAAGGGCCAACAAGTACATGAAAAGGTGCTCAACATCACTAATCAACAGGGAAATGCAAACTGAAACCACAATGAGTTATCACCTCACACCTGTTACAATTTCTGTCATCAAAAAGACAAGAGATAACAAGTGTCGGTGAGGATGTGGAGAAAAGGGAACCCTTGGGTACTGTTGGTGGGAATGTAAATTGGTACAGCCACTATGGAAAACAGTATGGAGGTTCCTCAAAAATTAAAAATAGAATTACCATATGATCCAGCAATCCCACTTCTAGGTGCTGGATATCTAAAGGAAATGAACACAGGATATGGAAGAAATATCTGCATTCCCATGTTCACTGCAGCATTATTCATAACAGCCAAGATATGGAAACTACCTAAGTATCTATCAACAATTGAATGATTAAAGAAGATGGGGGGGGGTGTATATATATAATATATACAATGGAATATTATTCGGCCATGAGAAAGAAAGAAATCCTGTTTGCAATAACATGGATGGACCCTGAAGGCATTATGCTAAGTGAAATAAGCCAGATAGAGAAGAGAAATACTGCACGGTATCACTTATACGTAGAATCTAAAAAAAAAAAAAAGGTAACTCATAGAAACAGAGAGTAGAAAAGTGGTAGCCAGAGGCTGGTGGGTGGGGGAAATAGGGAAAAGTTGGTTAAAAGATGAATAAGATCTGAGGATTTAATGTCACACATGGTGACTATAGTTGATAACACTGTATTGTATAGTTGAAATTTCCTGAGAGATCTTAAATGTTCTCACAAAAAAACTAAATATATATATATTTATGGCGATGGATGTGTTAATTAACTAGATGGAAGGAATCCTTTCACAATGTATATGTATATCAAATCATCATGATGTACACTTTAAGTATCTTACAGTTTTGTCA